ACCTCATGTCCTAAGTACATAAGCTTATAAAACCTTTATAGAGCCGTTTTAATAGATAGAAGTTTTTACTAATTACATAACTAAACTTAGAAGGTCCAGGTTATCAGTTGTCACTGTCGTGGAATAGTGAACGCTAGCGTTTTTGTTGATAATCCCCCTGTGGGAGGAGTCACATACAAACCTGCTCACCTTTTGCTGTGCACATGTCCAGTCCTGTTCACTGCACTGATGCCCTCCTCACCTCACCCTGTGGTAATTAGCAGCCACAATTTGGCTTCCACCTCTCCACATTCTTCTTTGTCTTTAGTCTTACATAATGTATACAGTGGTACTTGGGTTTGCGAAATTAATTTTACAATTTTGGGGAAATGGCTGCATATGTGCTTATGTGGGGAAGATGACCACAGTTGTGTTTGTTACCTGTTGCAGAGTTTGCAAATAGAAGTAAAATTTTGCCAAATGTTTCTGTTTGCAATCCAAACTGCAAAACAGAAACATTTGTAAACCAAGGCATTGCAGTATACACATAGTATAAGTACTGTACAAGGTTTTTCTGTCCTTATAAGGTATTAAAACATGGGGTGATACTATCCATATTTCGCTAGTGCTGTGTTACGTGAAGATACTGTGTCCTGATCTATCAACATCTGTGCATCATCTTATAGACCACATTGGAGCATGCAAGGCCAGAAGAGCCCAGCTGGGATGAAGATTTTGCAGATGTCTACCATGACCTAATCCATTCGCCAGCCTCTGAAACTCTTCTAAATCTGGAACATAATTACTTTGTTAGTATCTCAGAACTTATTGGTGAAAGAGATGTGGAGCTGAAAAAATTAAGAGAGAGGTATTTCATATTTTTGCATTATCATAATTGAGTTACATTGTCACATATGGTGGCCAGAACAATCGTTTGTTTTCATTTTTTATAAAATTAAAGGATAAAATAGAATGATTTATTTAATATTAGAAATTAGTTTTCTTGTGTACTTAAGTATGTACTTTCAACTGAGAGAGTCCTCACAGCATTATAGAACTTCTCTTCTGTAACCTGAAGAGTTATGCTAGCCTTATAGATCCAGTAAGAGCTAGATGGACTCTGCCAAAGGTTTGCTGTGTTCCTGGCATGACCCACAGCGGCCGTCTCCTCTGACTTTCACTCCAGCCCTCATGTAATAGAGAACTAATAGTCACAGGAATGTAACTTTTCCCATTTTACAGAAATGGAAACTTTGACTTTAAAAAGCTAAGTAACTTTTCTGAAGGCAAGCTGGAATTGTAAGCTAAGAACTATAACCCCAAAGCTATGAAACACTTGTGTACTTTGCTGTTCTCCTATTTACAACTTCCTCTTTATTGTCCTGCTCTGAGTCCATGCCCTGGTCTCTTTCAGTTAACTTTGAGACTTATTTACATTAGAAAGAAAAAATACTAGTATTGTTCCAAGACAAA